TAGTGCGATGCGGGACACATTTCCTTTTAGCTAATGAATAAAAATGCATTTCCTTTGTTGTGCGTTAACATGGTCGCTAGAAGACACTCGCTGGCTTCGCAAAAATACACCTTATTTTTCATACGAAATGTAAAAGTATGCTACAAACAAGGTCAAGCTTCAACTAGGCTGCAGCAATTGCGCGTATAGATTTTAAAATCATATTTAATCGTAGGTTCATGTAGTCGAACCAGTTGAAATCGTCTTTAGAGCAAGATTACTCTAGAGAACATCATGTAATTTTTTAAAGTAGATGTGGTAAAAGTACTTGTGGTAAAATTAACTCCTAGAATTCCACAGCGGCTAATTGTTTTATAATTCGAATTTAAATTCTACGCCCTAATAATATCCGCGACAACCGTCCGACATTAAAGGGAAATTGCACTGGAGCACTGGTTTGATCTCATCTAGGGATCATTTCACAGCCATTATTATGTTTTTCTTACAAGATGGCGGCAGAAATAGATACAGTGTCCTCGTGTTTAGCGCGACATTTCTAGTGGATACCATTTTTGTTACGCTTCAAGCAAGAGCTAGGTTGTTTGATCAAACGTGCTTCGTATTAAAATTCAATTAAACTTCAAAGCGAAATAAACAAGGATTATATGATTTAAACCATCCAACGTGAAATATGTGCTTGGCTTCCCCGTCTAACTATGTAACACTAAGGGAGGCAGATAAATTATGGAATTTTGATGGCTTTCTGCCCACGTCCGAATGGCAACAACTGGTTTGACGCCGCAGTGCTGCGCGTTGCCCGTTTTTGATGAGTAGCAATTTGTCACGTTGTGAACACCGTATGTTGCACGTTGTACAATTGCCAATTACGTGCGTGTCGCCTTTTGGGATGTCATGCGTCACTTGTGCCAAATAGCCCATGCCAATTTAGTAACACACGTTCATCTGCAATCAAGCGTACGTTGGTGGAATCCTGCTAGATATGGGGGTAATAACCGCATTCATGTAGAAATAACAACTTGCGAAATCGATACACGGTTGCTACCTTCTGCATCTATAAATCTATTTATATCCATGTTCTTTACGCGCAGTCTGCTAGCTACCATAGTAAACGCCTGTGTGTTATCGGCTAGTTCTTATATATGCTCATTTTTGTCTGCTCGAAGCCAAATTTTCGAATTACGCTAGAGTTCACACGTTTCGTAAACGCAACTGAGCGGAAAGTTCTTTCCGTGTAAATTCATCGCTTCCCGGGAGAGCTGGAAGCACGCCAGAAGACGTTAAATTTCCGGCAGTGACTAGATGAAATACGCACAAAACCTCCGTTTAAAACTAATAACTTTATTATTAAACAGCCAGGTTTTACACATTTGCATACATGTGACGTTCAACCTTGACATTCACCAAATCAATGTGAATTCTCGTGAAAATAGTCCACTTGACTACCCATAATGCCAGCTATATTATATATCCTCGTCTCGCTAGCACGAGGAAAATCTATGTAGCATCTCTATCAGAAGTAGATAATAGGAAAGATTCCCTATTTTCTACTTCTGATCTCTATTGACGTCAGTCTTCACTTTGTGCCACTCACTAATCAATTAGTGCTATCGGCCGGCGTGGGTTGGATTGTACGACGGTGATAATGAAATCAGCAAATACTGCTGTGATCAAACATCGCTCGTCGTTACGGTGACGCAAACATGGCGGCCAATGTTCTAAATAGCTCGCCAACAACAACATCTGCACTCTCTGATAATTTACCATCAAGCCAGCTATCTAGTTATGAATGCATTATGTCATTTTACCATGATATCTTTTCAAATTTATTAAAAAGTTTGCTTTTTCGTTCGAAATTAACTTCTTTCCACACACGCGCAGGTCACCCAATGCAAATAGATGCTTATATGTAGAAGCTTCGCCACCAGACTGGTTCACCATCGTTGCGTCATTCCAAGCGAAAGTGCAACGTAGTTGGTATATGATACAGTAAAGGGAGGTGATTACTGGTTAGGTCTAGTCTAGTGAAATCGACTTATTTTATGTAAAACTCGCGTGGGATTCACGTGAACGAGCTTCTACTGGTCAACCGAATCGGGTGCGAACGGGGGTGTCCATTCCCAGTGTTCCATGTATAAATGTGCCATTTTCCAGTTCCCAGTTGAATATAACCGTCCCCGATGACTCCTATATTCTCGAGTCACGAAAAACCTATCTAGTATTTCCTGGTTCCCCCGATAACTAGAAACCCGAAATCCAATTCTTCGCCCCGAAAATAACTGTACGGTCTGTCTTAAATTGATCGAAAACAAATGATGCATGAAAGAGTCAAGAAGACGCTTTCTGTTACCGGTGTTCTTTTGTTGACGTCTACACGTAGCGCTGCTAGGCATGCTGTGGGCGAATAGAGTGGAAATACGAGCATCAATCAGAACTCCTACAAATTGAACAACGAGTGCAGACAGGTAATCGCAGCGTCAAAGATGTTAGCAAAACCTTCGTATTTTTGTTAGCCAACAAACGGAAATAGACAGGCTACTATCGACAACTACAAAAGCGACTGCGAAAAAAAGAACATGCTTGTTTTTAGAGAGCTGCCCTGTGGATAGTGATGTCATTACAATGCCGTCGGTAACTTCACGAGTGCGGATTTTAGACAAAATTAACGGACAACACGTTCGATGTGTCTATACGTACGCGATCACATGCAGACGTTGCTTGCTGACGCGAACGCAACACGTGCCACATACAGTGATAGTAGGGTTTCAATGACTGGGTCATGTACGGCACACGTAGGTTACATCGATTACCACGGTGCGACGTCATTAAATAATTAGCAGCATAAATAGCAACACGCGATGCAAGTAAACAAATCGAGATGGGTATTCTTCTTCATCACGTAACTCGTATAGGTCTGCATCATGAGCGTTAGCAGGTTAATTGTGATAAAGTCGATATTTTCTAACTCATCCTGTAGTAGCGCGGGAAAAGGCTCAGCGGCGGTGAAGGTCATTGTAGGACTATTTATTTTAATTAAGACGGTTTATTTTAATTGAAGGAAAAGAGTGACATTTCGTGGTTACAACAGATGTGGGTTAACAAGAAGGAAAACTATGAGGTACACGCGCTTCTGAGTTTGTCCGATAGGGCGTATCTTCATGTCGGTCGGTGACTCTGCGTCGCCATGTCAGGCTCCTCTGCTTCTCCTTCTAACGTTCTCGACGCTGTCGTCGTGCTCTTCTCCTTCTTATGTTGCACCTTCTTCTCTTCTTCCACCTTCATTCGTCTTCTTCTCGTTCTCCTTCACCTTATCCTTTTGGTAATTTTTTCCTCCCTCCCTCCACCTTCCTGCATGGCCTCCCCCTCGTCTGCTTCTTAATTCTCCCCAACTCTGAAATGAAATACTGACGTTGTCAATCTATTTTCTTCTTTTTACTCTCAGTACCTCGTCCCGGTAGCCTGGAACGATTCTCTGCGGCTTGTTAAACTCTCACTCCCAGACCACCGTATCCCTGGGCTCGATTCATAGCGAGCCTGGTCAGGTGACCACCGTATGTTCGAAACTATGTGGCTCCACACGACTAAATCCGACTCTGCCCGCGTTAGAAATCATGATCGAGATCGCTTCTATCCCGACTCAGCCTCTCCCAATGACGATCCCACCTACCTAACCCTTACATGCCTCGTGTACCCAATTAATATTTTTTACCCGGTATTCTCCTGTCTGGCTGCCTTTATCAAGTCTCTCATCTATCGTGCTCGCGAATACCATATATGCTTTATTTCATCTACGAGTCCAGTACCTTTTCTGAATCGAGTAGCTGTACTGCTATGGCCATCACTATCGGCATAATATTTTGAATGTCAGTCGACAAGATGTTGCTGTTGATCTTTACTTTTAACAGTAAAATAGAATATGTGGAATAACAAATTTCCCGATGCTGACAGTATTCGTTGAGTACATACGGTCTGTGAAAATAACTGCCTCTGGTTAATATTCATTCTCAACATCAGTGCCGGTTATGAAAACATCCCTTTTATTTATATAGGCCTTCTACCGTTCTGGCATCGATCGAAGCGGCTCCAATATGATTTAAACGCAATAATTAAGAACGGAGAGAAGAAATAACAAGCTTAAGAATATAAAGTCTCTGAGTCATTGTTTCAGCTGCACGTGTTTTAGAGTTTTCGTCGCTTTATTAGGTTTCTGTTGTTCGGCATTATTAAGCACAAAACAACGTACCATATATTAAATAATACATCATATAAGCTACTAATTAATAATACATAACACATAATACATATTTACATAACATACATACATACATACATCAAGAATAAATAAAACCAAAAAATACGAAAAAACATTCATTTTAATTCGTTTCTTTATATATTAATTAATGTCGAATGTGTATATGAATCAGGCGTACTAAGCCCTGTTTTGCAATATATGAGACGCAACATCTATTCCAATTCGTAATCCCGATGAAAACCTATCATGCTATTTCAAGATTTTACTCTAGTTCTCTTATCTTTGAAAATGCGAGTAGCAATCTGTTTCAGCGGCCATTCGACGTTTAAGAGGAGGCCTAACATCGATTTACTAGTAAAACAACCTCTAAAGCTCTCTATCTCTATCACACATACAGATGCACACACGCACGTACGCACACGCATGCTTAGGTGCACGATGAATGCGCAGAATGCAACTCTACTATCTGTCACCACGAAGATTTCACGCCTGTTACAATATTTCGCAGATTTTGAATTGTCACTCCTTCAATTTCACAATGTCGAAGCAGCCGTGCGCTATGAAAAAAAAACCAGCAATATGGCTATTCTGATTAAATAATCAAAAGATCCCAAGGAATATATATGTATATATATATGTATATATATCAAATGACAGAACTGGTTACTAAGATTGACGCAGTTGTTGGGATGCGTGAGCTCGTGCGTACGAATTGTCGTTCCTAAGCCTAACGTGTAGCCTTCCGTTTCAGCGCGGCTTGACGATGTGAAGACGTACATGAGCTTGCGACGCGTGCCCAGACACCTGCAGGACAGAGTCATCCGCTGGTTCGACTACCTGTGGATCACAAAGAAGTCCTCGGATGAGGAGAAGACACTTCACTACTTGCCAGATAAGCTTAAAGCGGAGATCGCAATCCATGTTCATTTGGATACGTTAAAACAGGTAGGTTTGCTACGAGAATCAATGCTTAAATCAGTACCTTCGCATTCGTTAGGCAATTAACCGCTGCTATGATATCACTAATCAAACAGATTGAATCGTATTCACGTTTTGTGGCAATGCGGAATTGGGGAATAAAAGACAGTAAATGTTCGGCAAAGGTCAGGGAGCACAGGTGTATTCACATAACGCGAAATGATTCGTGCACCTGCTTGGCGGTGAGCGTGTAATTTCCTCAAATTATTAGGTGCCTCGATATGTTGAAATAGATTGGCCCTACATAGAAACATGCGATATATATATAGGCGTTTAGATGTTTTCCAATGCGATGTGATGTGCGATACAAAATACGATTAGGTATATACTACGATAGTTGATGTACTTGGGTTATTTTCATAACGTGTTAGAGTAGTAGTAGAGAGCGTAGTAGAGCTGCCAGGGTCTATGTCTCCCTGGGTACTGCCGGAACGTACCCTGGTACTATCTAAATAGTGCCGACCGTACCTCGCTACTCCACTAACGAGTCTAGGGAGTCGCCTACGCCTACTCCCTTAACCCAAACCCTAACCCTAACGCATAGTCAGATGTACCAGCGGTACGTTCCGGTATACCGGACGTACCCAGGGTACGTTCCGGCAGTACCCAGGGAGATATAGACCCTATGAGCCGTAGTAGATTAGGTGATAAAGTATCGTAACAAGCGATTTGTGTCGTTTCCCACGTTGTAGTCACGTGGACGTTTCATGTAATTTAGGTAAACGTTGAAGATTGGCTGCTAAGTCATTCATGCGTGTTAATATTATATAGATCCACGTTGCAAGCTATAAACTTCTTTTATTACGTATAAATTCGTTGCTAAATCACAGAGATGAGTGGTGGGAGATAAGACTAATTGATTATTTTGAGCGAAAATAAAATTAGATACAGCATAATTTGACAGCTATAGAAATTGGCGCCCGGCGATGCTGCGCTAATGCGATACTTGTGTAAACGAACAGCTCATTTGTCACAGGAAGGGAAAGCGTTAATACTTGTCACAGGCGACGTAAGTGAGAGTTGACGCGTTTAGTGGAATGGACACACGCGATACCGGCCACTGCGTACAGCAAACTTACCCGTAGAAACTGAATCGAAACGGGTATATTTTTACGACTCGCGAGGCCACGTACGTGAATCTGAGTTCACGCTTTAAACGTGTACTTTCCGGTGACGACGTACAAATGGCGCGTCATTAACTGTGAAGCCAGCGACAGAGCAGAGCGCAATTTTTCTCTACTTATTGTTTTTTTCGTCCGTTTCTCGTAGTCGAGGTATTTTCAGAACACGGGAAGCGGGCTTTCTATGCGAAACTCGTGCTACGGCTTAGACCCGTACTCTTCTCCCCGGGTGATCATATCTGCAGGAAAGGTACACGGGAAATATCGGGTGATACTCCATTAAGAGTGTTCCCAACTTACATTATCAACTAACATTAATGGTCATAATAAACATATATATAGTATAATATATAATATATATATATGGTCATGGTCATAATAGTAGTTTGTGGTTTATGTCATTTAGGTTAGGGTTTAGGGTTAGCGTTAGCGATTATCAATCATTAATCATTAATCATTAATCATTAATGATATCAAAGTTGGGAACACTCCTAACGGAGCGTTAGCCGAAATACCCGCCACAGACGCGCTCGCCTTATACGAATCCATGCATGACTCTGATGTGTAGTGCTCTTAAAAATTGCGATGAAATAATAGGATGGCTGTGATAATTGCTACATTGCCCAAACGCATCTCCGTTCCCGCTGTGGTAAAGGAGTTTCTATTACTTAGTGTATACTCGTATAGCCTGGTAACCTGTCCATAAGTAATCACCATTGCGCAAATGGAGGCGACCGGAAGTTGTTGACCGGAAAGGCACGACGGTTGTTTTGGCCTACTGAGCAAATCTTCCTTCCAATGAAATCATATATCCTGTGATAGTTATATAAGTTACACACACAGTTACACATGCAGTGTATTAGCAAGAAGCCCCCTTGTTATATATACTTAATACGTAAATGTTTACGAAGTTTTATTAGTATATTTGTAAACAAAAACTGTTAATTTTTCCAGCGTTTGTTTACATGTGTCATGGCTACATGACAGATTTTGTTCCGCCAATCAATGGAATGGGGTGGAATGATGGGAACCAATTCAATATTCGTGAGAACCATATCGAATTAGCTGCTCGGATATTCGTACGTATATGCGTAAATTAGCGCCATCTGTCGAAGACCACATCTGACACACCATTAGCTGCCGGATATTCTCCTACTATGTAGATATTGTTTATCCATACGACGTATGATGTGCAAATACAGAGAGCATCTTAAACTAGAAGAGCAATCAACAAATTAGTAAAGCACGTGAAGATACTGTACGTAATTTGGGTTGACAAATGGCGACTAAATTGCTCGCAAGCAGTTGTATGTACTTCGTACTCGAGCAGTTAAATCCTATGGTCTGAACAAATATCTGTTCTCCACATTCTGCCCCATACCAAACATGACACCATACAAGCAGTTACAGAAACGTATTATTCTTAGTGCTAACGTCGCATAATGTTGGTTATCAAATAAAACCTGAATGGCTGCAGTATAGATTTGTGCGTGAGTGATGATTACCTCGCGGATTATTATATTTGAACTGATCCGAAGAATGTAAAATAGAACGATGGGAAAATAAATAGAAGATAGAGAATGTCATATTCGAGCCCGATCATGCTCGCCTCTTCCTTCATCCACCATTGCGCTACGAAGTTTCCTCGACTGTGACTGTGACGGTCTCCTCTGTTACCGCTCTCCGCAGGTGAAGTCGGCAAGGAGATGTACATAGTAAATCGCGGACGCGTGCAGGTGGTTGCCAACGACGGCAAGTCGGTCCTCGCGACTCTGAAGGCCGGCAGCTACTTCGGGGAGATCAGTATCCTGAACATGGGCACAGCCGGCAATCGCCGCACCGCGTCCGTCAAGTCCGTCGGTTACTCAGACCTGTTTCGCTTGTCTAAGGGCGACTTGTGGGACGTATTGAAGGAGTATCCAGCTGCACGCGTTCGTCTGGAAGCAGTGGCTGCCAGGCGGATGGAGGGATATCGCAAGAGCATCGCTGTAAACGGTACGCAACAATAATTTTATTCGTCTATCATGACTGCATGAAACGCGCGTGGTTGAGTAGGGCCTATATTATATCACCACGTCAATACAAAATCCTCGTCAGTTTAGATATTCTCGAACATACGAAACTTCTAAGTGCTATTACTACGTTTAAAACTTCTTTACGATAAGCAATTTTACTATTAATACGTTAAAAACGTATTTATGATAGCGTCCCTCTATATTATAGGTCGTTTAATTATTACAGAATTTATAACGTCTTTTTGATAAGCGGGCGTACGTGCGTGCGTGCGCATGCATATGTGTGCGTAAGGAGTTAACTGTAGCGCATTGCGGTTCTACAATAACGCATGACACCTATTCACCCTATCCCATTTATACACACCCCATGCATCTACTAACACCACGCGCTTTGTCCGCGAAGGCTATAACCGCATTGTTAGATCGTCAAAATGAAAAGAAATCGCAAATCGCTCGTAAAATTCGCAAAAGGGCAATTTTCATCCCGCGATTATGTCTAAATTATATGGCATTCGTTTCGTCGAGTTCGTTACGCGTGATAATAATATGAATTATTACGCTTCGCGACGTGTTATAACAGCACTAATGGAATAATAACAGCGCTAACTAGGTGCGGATTAGGAACCGCGTTTACCAACACTGTATTGACGCGCAGCTGCGACGTCTGTGTACATCGCGCGATATCTACAACGCGTCCGAAACGGTCGCACGCCGGTTAATGCATTGCGTACAGTTACACGGAAGTCAATCGAACCCGCCGCCACCATCACCGCACGCCCGCACCTAGAAATAGGGGGCACATTTGCAACTAATTCCGCTTTCAGCTCCCTGGAGACATCATGAACACGCCTGCTAATCACGTCCCTTTTGGGAAGCTGGCAGCGCTCCTTCCAATAAGCTGGCCGAGATTAGATGTCCGTTTCAGCGACTGAATGTGCCCGCGTGTGGCAATATCACCGGTGCGTGTGTATTGCCGAGCTCTGCCACGGCTATTGAGGCGTACGACGACGCCGGGAAATTACGTCTCGCGTGCACATGATTCTGCTCAAATGAAAACACGACGGGCTAATAGGAATTGGGATTCGCAACAGCCTTCCCAATTCTCCGTGATTCTATAGAAATTCGGAACCGTGCTGTCGGATTAAGGCTACTTCCCGGATCTATATAGCACGCGCTCGCTTCTCCTGCCTTCCTCGACACTGGGACACTGGGCTGCGGCCCAAACGTGAGACGTAAACTAATCCGCGCCGATGTGTGTGTGTGTGTGTGTGTGTGTGTGTGTGTACGCGCGTGCGTGTGTGCGTGCGTGCGTGTGAGCGTGTGTGTGTGTGTATGTTCGTCTGTGTGTGTGTATGTGTGTGTTTGCGTGCGTGCGTGCGTGCGTGCGTGCGTGTATGTGTGTGTATGTTCGTCTGTGTGTGTGTGTGTGTGTGTGTGTATGTGTGTGTTTGCGTGCGTGTGCGTGCGCGTGTGTGTGTGTATGTTCGTGTGTATGTGTGTGTTTGCTTGCGTGCGTGTGTGTGCGTGTGCGTGTGCGTGTACGCTACGCGCGCTCGATCGTCGTATGTATACAAGTGCAAATCACGTTAGCGTGCCATGTCATATATCCATCCGTACCATGCTGTAAAACACTACGTTGCTGCACATGCATGCAGTATAATTTGTGTGTGATAATCACGCGACCTGCTTGGGGACGAGGCGTGGGTAGCAGCGTCTATAGGTGAGGCCATAACTCCGGCGGAAATCTGCGTGCCTATAGGGTACATGAATCGAGCCGGCTGAAGACTAATTGAGAACGCAGAATTGCCAAGGCGGAAGAGCAGAGCGATTCAGCAACAAAAATTATAATATCTATACGAATTTTTTTTTAACGAAACGAGCTAACAATTGTTGCAAAACATCCAAAGCCACATGATCGTACCCTGTGTCTACTTACTGTAGATCTAGAGCTTCGATTGACGGACAGATAATTCTTTGGCCATACGTCAGCGATAATAATATTTACCGTCAGAGCGTAATGTATCGTGTACAGTAGGAAAATTCTTTTCTAGATAGAGAACTATCGCGTAGCACAGGAAATGGTGGTTAAATGGCCCAACAAAACAGAACGTGTGAAAAGAAACGACATATGTCAGAAATCACCAACATTGGTACAACACTCCTTTTATGCTTTTGCTTAGTGTGTTCGTGCGCGCGGCAGTGGAAGTGGGGGGGGGGTTAAAGAAAAGACCTTTCGATCGTATACAATAATCAGATATAAGAAATAAACCTTGTCAATCGCTCGCTTCACACGCCACAACCATATCAGGTCTGTTTGTTTGGAAGCGTATATACAAAGCAATGCAATAGAATGCCACACTCGTATTTAAGCCACAACTCCACAGCGTGTGGCAAACGCAATCTGACAACAAACAAACGCTGCTATGTGTCTTCGCACATTATATACACAGCTGAGAATTAAGCATGCAAACATTAATTAGCACGCTAATGAGAAAAGTAGCCGAATTCGTGCTTGATTATGTTTCGCAACGTTCGCTTTGTGGCGCATGTAAGGCTTCCGCGCGGGAGCGTTACTTTGGTTTCTGTAATAAAATTTGGTTTCTGTAATAAAGAGACAATAAGGCTACTTGCAGATTATTAGCCGGTTATTATCGTGGCGCTCGAAACCTATTTCCACAACCAGTGTTGACTGATAGAAATCGGAAGTAATTGTCTTATTTAAGGGCAAAACACTACTGACCGAGGTGGGATGTAAACCCCAGACCTTTCATAAAAACATGGAGTGCTAATCACTATATTATATGCCATCGGCTATCAACATCTCACCTTGTGTCGCGGGTATGCACGCGTGTATTTCTTACTGCTCGTCAATTTGTTTGCGTGTATTGGATAACACGGAATGTGTCGCGCGCGTGCTTTGCAGGTGCAGCTATAGAGCAACCACAGCATGCCGCATTTACGCAGCATGAATGCAGTAACAACGCTCTGGGAGGGCATCACTTGAGTAATGCATGCGATTAATATTATAGTTATTTGACTCGAATCTCCAAAAACAAAACGAAACACTGATAAGCAGATAGGTATATAGTCACGCTAACCACCCTTCACATGTATAACAGACATTTTCGGGCGAACTACTGCGTGAAACGATTCGATTCTCGGCAAACGACAAATACCTAGATCATGATTTAGATAAGAAAACATTTAGATAAGAAAACATAGCGTCACAAGCGATGCGCAGTTCTACATTACACCCAAGATGTCACTTCGCCTCTGTTTATAGCATCGTTCATTTTGAGAAACTATACGAGCCATAGAAATAATATAGATAACTATCTATCACGTCTATCTATATTATTTCTATGATACGAACAGACGGTGAGGCGACTTATTGCACCTGACACGCAGAGCCACCTATATGCTGTATTGCCACATATGTTTGTTGCTACTGGGTACGAGAGCAATTCTTAATTAAATTCACGAAGGCCACAACAAGCTGTTCCGCGTTTTGCCGCCAGCCGCGACGCTGACTGAGACGAATTCAAACGTTTTCAAACAGCATCGAGCGATTTCTCAAAGATAAAGGTTTTGCCAAAAAAATCCACGCGGGAGTCTAGCTCGGGTAATAACCTTCATGGCGGCGAAATCCCACCCAAAGTGAGAGCCGTTTCTCTGGCCAACGCATGACATTGAGCACACCGCCTATCCTCTGGTTAAGAAAAGAAAACAAGGAACTGAATAACAAAACACGATTTTTGGAACAGACCATTAGATTACCTTAGCAGGCTCCTCTATGGGCTATAGGTAACCAACATGCTCTGCTAGCATCTATGGCAAATACGCATATACGCTCTCCTATGACACTATTTTGTCATAGGAAGATTCTTCCTATGACAAATATTGGCGAGTCAACTTCGTTCCGCTTTACAGCTGAAATTCACTTCTTGCGTTCATAATAGCGCTCCTAAACTCCGATGATGCGCACAACACATACAACAATATTTGTCATAGGAAGAATCTTCCTATGACAAATAGTGTCATAGCCAGGAGAGCGTATGTGTGTATGTCGTATTTGTCATGTGCTAGCAGAACAGGCTGAGGTAACACGTCGCATGGTAATTGTTGACGTGACGGTTGATCATCGTTTTCGTCCGCTCACAGTACATTCGTACTGTATATTGGTGTGGCTATAACAAGGTAAGAGTATCTATTTTGACGTATGCTATCAACTTCAGTGAACACGTATGTAATGTTCGGGTACTCTTTAATACGTCGCATACAGTAGAAAATTATGGATTTGAAATTTTACATCCGGTTTCCAGTTTCTCGCGCGTCGCTCTTCTTTTTTTGCGAGCGAGTTCAAAAAATCTCCAATGGTTCACAGCATGCTAAATACGTCCGGCATTACGTATAATTAAACGTAATTGTTGGAGATTCATAGAGCTCATTGAGCTCTAGCTACGGCAGTGTAGAATCCTAATATTCAATTGCTGTGAACCACTAACGCTGTTGCGAACTAATCCCAACATTCTGGCCCAAATTTTGGGCCAAAATAATTCTGGCAGAAAATAAAGGGCATGGTGCATGATTGTACCTAAATACTAAAGGTGTATATATGAACGAGTATTTAACTAATGTCAATGAGAGTACATCCATTAGCTCTCTGAGTGTGTGATTTATCGTAGAGTAATGTATTCAAAAGATGCCTCCTGAGAGCCGTGATGAGGTTGGCCCAGCGTGCGGTTTGAGGAGAACTATAGTCGCAGTAAGGCAGCGTCGCTGTCAACGAATATCTTAATTTATCTACAAAATCGCAGCAGACATGTTTACGGACTACGGATTTATATACGGTTCGTGGTACTTTAATTTTTCCCCGTCTATCGTTTTATTTCTAGAATCCTCTACTACTACTAATTACTAAGGACTGTAAGTGAGGTGCGGCCGCAAGCTTGCAAGATTATTCGCTCGCGTTTCAGAGAA